GGGAGCGCCTGCGAGCTGGATCTGGTGGAGGATGCTGCGGCAGGTGCTTCGCAGAGGGCTCCAGTCGTTCTGCCACAGGCTGGGCTTGTGCGTGAGCCGGCACCCGGTCTTTTTCCTCACCGTGCCCGCAGTCCTGACCATCACCTTCGGCCTCAGCGCGCTCAACCGCTTCCAGCCCGAGGGCGACCTGGAGCGCCTGGTCGCGCCCAGCCACAGCCTGGCCAAGATCGAGCGCAGCCTGGCCAGCAGCCTTTTCCCCCTGGACCAGTCCAAAAGCCAGCTCTATTCGGACTTACACACCCCTGGGAGGTATGGCAGGGTGATCCTCCTCTCCTCACCCGGGGACAATATTTTGCTCCAGGCTGAGGGGATCCTGCAGACCCACCGAGCCGTGCTGGAAATGAAGGTGAACCACAAGGGCTATAATTATACTTTTTCCCATCTGTGTGTGTTGAGAAATCAGGATAAGAAATGCGTGCTGGATGATATTATTTCAGTGCTAGAGGATCTCAGGCAGGCTGCCGTCTCCAATAAGACAACAGCCAGGGTCCAAGTGAGGTATCCCAACACTAAATTAAAGGTATGCTCCTTCTGCATGCTTCTGCCAATTAAAGAGGCAGCACTTCATTTCTTGCCCTAAACAAGCAAAGAAAATGCAGAGGTCTCATCCTTAAGACTCAGAAGCGAACGCTTCTTTCATTTCTGGGGGGAAACGATGGGCAACTGAGTGAGGAAAACGGGCAATGAATGGCACTACTAGATATTAAGAAATTCAAGGCCAAACAAAACAAATGCCAAAAAAAAAAAAAAAAAAAAAAAAATTACAAAAAGAAAAAAGGAAAAAAAAGTTGTTTCTGAGACCCTGCAATTACATCTTTGTTCAGGGTTAATAAATCAGTGAATGGAAGGGGGAGGGGGAGTCCTGAACAATTGGGGGATTTCTTTTCATTATGGGGCTCAATGTATTTCTTATTACTGATTACACATCCACCTGGTGCCATATCCACCTATTTACATCTTCAGCCTGGCTTGATTTTGACATGTAGGGAGTTTGTGTTTTGGTGCCCTGTGAGTGTGTGTCTGAAAGCAATAGCTTATGAATGTAGTAGGGATTCCAGGAATTATGTGTATGTGTATTTGCATAGCAAAAGAAGCAGGCATTTTCTACATATAAAAATAGGGATGTGCATCTAACTGATGTACTAGTTTACTGAGTCCTGTTATCTTCCTTTCCCCTAAGGAAAAACCCAAACCAAAGGAAGATGATTATGACTGCCCAATAACCAAAAAAAGGGTAAAAGATTCCACCATTGCCAAACATTACAAAGAATGATTATTTCAGCATTAAATGTATTGTGCTGTTTAGACTCTCAATTTAAATTTTGTTGCTCAAATGAGATTTCTAAACTCATTCTACACTGTCAGAATTGAGCTGCTGCAGGCAATGAGGCATGCAGTCTCCAGGTGACTGAAGTTTCAGAGACAAATGTGACTTCCAAAAGAGTCACTGCACCATTTGCATGCTCGACCCTGTGCATGCTCAAAAGCTGCGCAACCAAGAACTCCCAAGACAGGTGTTTCCCAAGAAGAAGAAATAGTCTTCCTCTAAATGTGTGTGAGGATGTGTGTGTGTTTCTATGGAGATGATGGAGTTAAAGGGACCCCAGTTTCAATAAACAGATGGCCTAAGATAAGAAATCACTAATATTCCTATCTATGTATTTGATATAGTCAGCATCTCTACACAGTTAAAAATAGCCTTTTTTGAGAATAAAACTCATTTGTTTCCTGAACTGAAGGAGGAATTAATGTACTTAGAAAGTAGGAATTTTTCAGGAAACCTCATAACCTGCCTCTTTTTTTTAACACAGTGTCCTCGTTTAAATGGATCCAGAGGCTGAAAAGGGCTTCAGCTTCACAAAGCTGAGAAATCCCTTGATGTTTAGTGAAACTAGACAGATGATTTATCAGCTAAATCAGATGATTTATCTAGGTGAGGGCTTGCCTGCTTCACACTTATTGATGGGAGCATGATGGATATATGTGGTTAGGCAGCATGCTTTTCATTTCCTGAGCCCTTTACCATCAACATTATTGCTTGCTAAAGAAAAAGATGTGGTGGAGAGGTAATCCTCCTAGCCTGTACTCTTCTGAGTTCTTTCTTATGCCAAACATCTGGAGTGAAGAAAGATTTGAAATTGTCTCATATTTCAACTTCACATTGTTTTCTCTGTTGAGTCAATTTTGCAGTTCATTAGTATGCCTTTTTGTTTGCACCCCTTTTGCCTTTATTCAGCTGTACTTGCCAGGTGTAAGATTTGTGTCCAATTAGCCATGTTGTTTATCTGGTGATATCATTATGACATTTACAGTACAAATCCTTGAGGTATTCAATTCACTCATTTAATAATCATTAATTTTGCTCCTATGATTTCCTGGGTACCCTTATAAGCACATGGACAGAGTTTGGGGCAAAAAAGCAAAGTTCTTACTCTCATCAGGCTTAAAAGTAGTATATGTCAGCATTTTCACACACAGTTACCTTCAAGCAGAAAGTTCGGGATTCACCTTTGAGTCAACACCATGCTGGGCCTATAGTAGATGCTTCATCTAAAATTTTTGACTGGTTGGTTGGTTTGATATACACCTTGGTAGGAGTCAATGGATAATTCTAAAAGGAGGGAGTAATTGATGACAAAGGTCAGTGTAGTAATAGTAAAATTATTCTATTAACCATAAAAGAACAGAAGAATTTCACATTGGCTAAAGTCCTTACTCTGTGAAATTCTTATATCAATCTTTCTTCAAATGCATTGGCTTGACTTTTTCTTCTTGGCATCAATGGGGATACAAACTATTTTTGGGTAAATGAGCCTTTTGAGATCTTCTGAGAGCAGTAGGCCCTTTCAAGTGTCCAGATATAACCTCACACATGCTCACATAATTTAAAATATAATTTCAAAAGTTCTATGGATCTCTGGAATGTGGAAAGGGTCTCCAGCAGCTCTCAGGATTTGAACTTCCTGGCACAGAGCAAAATAAGATGGCCTTTTATTTTAATTGTGTGTTATTTGGAAATGATTCTATTTCATGTATGGCAGTAGTTTTCAGAGTATGTCTCTATGAGGCTGATGCACACTAGACTTTGAGGCTCCTAGTGTACAAGATTTGAGGAGAAATTTTATATATACATTTTTTAACCCTCAAATTTATTTTGCTTTCCCTTATACTTCTTAGGGCACCACTCTTCCCAACTCTGGAAACATGCTATTGTTGGTCAGAGAATTAGAAGCTGAGGAAAATTGCAGGATAAATAGCAGTGGTTGGATAACATGAGTTTGATTTGGAAATTACTTGACATGAAGGAAGCAGAAGGACAGTGCTTAGATATAGTCTGAAGATGTGTAAACACTAATTGACAGAGAGAAGTGGTCAGAAAACTTAACTATAACAATCAGAAAGTCATCTTCCAAGTATCATTAAGATACTCAAGTAGTCTTGAGCACAGAAAGGGTTAGAACTTCTTATAAACATGACATCATTACCTTGACAAGGTGATCCAGACAAGCTGGGACACAGAAAGTTGCTTTTTATGGAATTCCAAAGAGAGGCTTAAGTAAATCTGGTATGAAAAGGCAGTAGTCAGTTTAGAATACGACAGACAAGATGAAACATATACATGATTTCAAAATCTGTGTAGCAAAGATACCAAAAGTTGAAATCTCTACACCTATATGATATGAATTCTACAACTTTGCCCTTTATTATAATTTTATGTTATATTACTGATTAGGCACAAGGGTCACATTTTATATTCCTTCAGTATTATTCATATTCCCCACACCAAACTAGTCCAGTTCCATATAGATAATATTCACAACAAATATTCATTGATTTGTTTATTGATTAAGATTTCTACATTTATACTACAATATCACAAAATTATCATCACTTTTCAAACTTCTGTAGCATGCTTTGATTTGAAAGGTACTCTATATTTTCTAGATTTCTATAAAATGTTTTTGACGCTACTAATCTTGAGGGCTATTTTTTTCACCTACTAAACTGTACATATCATATATATATATAGTATCAAGTAATGCATATCATATAAAGTGACCTGACTAAATTTTAAAAGATACTTAACACATTGTCGAAGCTTGTCACCTGGTTAAAGTGAGATAGGCACTCAAAATTCTTAAGCAGTGACTTCTCTGAACTTCAAGAAATGTTTTCATTATCATTAAGGGAGCTCTGTTGCCTGTAGGTAATATTTTCCTACGTCTTATGTAGGCCATCATAACCTCACTTTTCCACCTGACTAGTTCCATAAAAGTAACAATTCTCCTATGTCCCCCGTTCTTTATTTTAGCCACAGTAAAAGATGTAGGTAAAGATGAAGCAAAAAAAAAGTGGTCCTTGGAGATGGGTTAGACTGCAAGACTAGATCCCAACATCCTGGCAAACAGTGAGAAAGGAATGAAGTTGATTTTATTTCCCTGCAGTCTGTCCTTTACATTTCATTAACAACCACACCTCTGAACAGATGCTAAAGCGAAATCAGAATGTACTTCAATGTAACACACTTAAGAATAGGAGCAGATATAGACTTTCCTGCTTCTTAACAGAAGACTATTTATTTAGGTACATTTTGGGTACCATCCTCCAGGTCTGAAATATGTTGCCATAATTATTTAGCTACAATCTCAATGGAAGGGCAATTTAAGTCAACATGAAAAGTGAGGACCAGCCTTATGTGGGGAGATTTCCTAGCAAAGTTATGCTACAGACTTACTTCCCTAATTCATTCTAAAACTTTGAAAGGCATACATGTCAGGATCTTCTCTGATATCTTTATTTAAGCTTACCTTTCTGATTAGAGCAAGTATTACTACTTGACCAATTGTTCAGTTTTTGTCCTACACTGTGTTAGGTATGTTATGTTCAGCATGTCATTTAATTTTTACAAGTTTGTGAGTCGGGATTTTTGTGTGTGTGTGTTTTATTTTTTATAAGTAAGGAAACCAAAGACCAGGAGGTTAAGTAACTTCCATGAGATCCCCAAGCTAGTATAAGTTGTAACTGGAAATTAAATCCAGGTCTAACTGGTACTGAAGTTTATATTCTTAACCTCAGTATTGTATTAAGTCTTATCACATCTTTCACCATTCTCTATAATAGGAGCCTTTTGTAGTAAGAAAGAAGTGGAGCCATAATTACAATGTCATCCTAAATCCATGTTAAAAGACCACAGCTATTCTTTCACACCCTTTCCCTTGCTCACTCAGAGTGACTGACTTGTAAGAAGGTGACACACAGTGAAGCTTCAAGTTTGGGCAAACTCCTACTATCCACCTACTGTGGAGAGTTTTTGCAAATTCTAGCTACAGAGAGTTTAGCAAATTC